AGAGTGGTCAGGCGACAGTGTTTCTGGTATACTCTGTCTCGTCTTCGGAACACTGGGCAGGGACGTACGTTTGCTACATTCAGCAGGATCAAAGATGAAGCTGTCGTCGTTGTCGTTGTCGTCATCATCATCATCATCATCATCATCATCATCATCATCATCATCATCATCATCCCCAGTACTGATCACAGAGCGCCGAACGAGTTCACTGCCATCATGGAGGTAATCAAATTGTTGAACAGTCGGCTCTGAGGTTTGTTCTGGCGCAATCGCCTCTCTGCCGGATTCATTCCCTGCTTGGTTAGCTGCGACTGAGGGAATCGTCTTCTGTCTGGGCCTCGGCCTTGGACGCTAAGCGAGTCATCAGTATTCAAACCCTATTAGAACCAGCTCGATTTACCATGGGTTGTGTTGAGCGACTGCAGTCTGGCGTTTGGTGCTGCTGTGAGAGTTGTCACTTGACTGTGCGCCATGAGCGCCGAATGTGCGTACCTGAATCGTGCCGGCAGGTGCTGTGTCAACAGGCACAGGTGCCGGCGCCGATGCCACTGGTGTTGGGTTAACTTCAGATGGTCCTGAATGTACACTCGTGATCCCGGCGTGTGGATGTGCGTTCGGCGCCGGTGTCCTCGGGTCAACATCGGCTTCATCTGAGCTGTCGTCTTCATCATCTGGCACAATGGGAGTTTCGGGGGTTGCAACTGCATATGGATCCATCCGCAGTGAGTGACGGAACCGAAGGGGGACCTTGTTTTTGGATTCTCTGTCTCGCCAATGTGCGAACAATATGAGTATTTCTGCTTCCTTCACATCGCTTGGCTCCCTGACGCCGAACACGTCAGAAGGAAAGTACTTGCTGGTTCCAAAGTAGTGGCGGGGATACTTCTCCATATTGCCCCACGGCGGAACACCCTTCACGCGCAGAGTATCATGCCGCCAGACTCGCGTGATGTATCCTCGAAGCAGGCGTTGTAAAGTTTTAGTCTTTTCCTTCTCCGGCGGGTTTGGAACAATGGGAAATCCGTCATCCCTTGTTGCGATGAGGGAACAGGCATCGCGTGATTTTGGTACTGTGACCTGCGCCGGATCCGCTAATCCTTCCGGCGCCGACTCGCCTGGGAGAGGACCGCCTACTCACTAATTAATGGTGATACGCCGAAACAAACAACGTAACACAAACCATTGACATACCGGCGCCATGTTTTCCAGAAGGGCATTTCGCGAACCCGCTGCGGCAGCATCGGCTCGAATGGTGGGTCACAGGCACGTATGGTGTCAGAACTTGGAAAACATCACAGGGAATCCATGAAGTATGTGGCTGAAACTTACTGGCCGAGCTGAATATCTCCGTTCACATTCTTCCTGCCGAACAAAAAAAATACACGGACGCCATGGGCAACCGCAGACCACTCTGCAAACTCAGCTGCCCCCTTCAGCCACTTGGGAAATTCGCTGCCCCCAATGGTTAGCGCTTGGTATATCCCTGGATGGAATAACTTACCGCTCTTGTATCTCTGGAGGCGGGCCCTCTTCATTCCATTTGGCAGCCTTTCTCATAAACGCTTCCTTTGTGGCCTGATCGAGTTTGTTTTTGCAGTATTCTGTCTGCGCCCTGCTGAATAATCCCATGTACTTGCCTCTCCAAACTGGCGGCATTGGGATATCGGAATGTTCGGTCGCCCATGTTGACGCAACCAGAGACATGATTTGCGCCTGGTGCTCAATCTCGGCAATACGTACCATAGTCCACTTCTTGCCAGACCTAAACTTCCACTTAACCTCGTCACCAGGTGGAGTTGCCTCCCTGTTATCGCGGCCAAACCACTCGCGAACCCTCTGCTCAATGTTAACACCTATCCTTTACCACATTGCCTAAACTCACCTCCACCATGTCATTCAGACCCTCCCCATTGCTGACGCCCTCCTCATTGAGTAGTTCTCTAGCTGTACTTTCAATAATATTGGCTTGGTCGTCAGGATCATCTTCACTGCTTGCATTCCAGCTGGTGAGGGAGCGGTTGAGAATTAAATGACACCTTGGGGAGAACCCATCGAGATCAGTGTTGTCAGCCATGGCTGAACCGGAGAAAACGAAAGAAAGAAAGAAAAACACGCGTTGGTAGGTACCACCATTGAGCTGTAGCCGACCCTGACTGCATGTTCAGGGTCTGCTCAACCACGGCTGACACCCCTATCTGATCCTTCATTCGAAGGTTTGAATATCAACGCCGGCCTCAAAGTTGGCGAGGCATCAGGGTATATGCCAAACCCTTGTTATGTGAGTCGGCAGCGTATGTGAACACGGCCCTGGAAGACGCCGGGTGCAGCAACGGTGCCCCCATTTACTTCCACCATAGGCACTGTGATACTTGTCCCGGCGCCGGCAGACACCCCCAAATTCTGTGGCCAGTTGTACAGTTGCACTGGTTTTGCTCACCTACCAGGATGTTAGAATCCGGTACTGTACCTTATCTCAATGCATTGTGTACTGGTTCATCCTACACTGCTGAGCTTATCTAAATCTAATAATCACCTTGCAACCACAGTCCATGTTTCAGTTTTCTCCTCATCTCTCTTGTACTTTACCTTATCTCAATGCATTGCACACTGGTTCATCCTCGATGGGCATCCTGTAATAAAGCAAGCATTGAAGTTTGGTGACATTGACACCCAAGCCAGTTTGTTGATCCCACCCAGCATCGCCAAACTCTTTTGCAAACTCAGCCTAGGTTGGCACAAGTGTCAGTGCTGTCCAGGTGAAATGCCAGCCTATGCTGCTGAACTTATCTAAATCTAATAATCACCTTGCACCCACAGCCCACATTTCAGTTTCCCCCTCGAATTCCTTGTACTGTACCTTATCTCAATGCATTGAGTACTGGTTCATCCTTTATGTGCAATCTGTGATAAAGTTACAAGTTCTGATAAATGGAGATTGTGAGGAAGACATAGGTGGTGTGCTTCTTGATAAGTCTCAAGGGTAAGGCAGGAACTAAACATCACATCTTGTTATCCACTCCTTTCATCCATTTGGCACAACATCTGCCTATCAGAACTCTTATCAAGGGAAGCACAAGGAGCTGTTGATTATGGAATAGTGATGCCTCCTTTATAATATGATAAACGAATATTGTGCCAAACAGATAGAGTGGATAATCAAGATGTGATGTTTAGTTTCAATCTTTTGCTTGAAACAAGGAGCATACTATAAATGTCTTCCTAACATAGGAGAGATGCACTGTTCCATAATCAATGCCTCTGTATGCCTCTTTTGATATGTGTTCTGATAAACAGACATTATGAGGAGAAAATGTGTGCTCCTTGATAGGTTTCAAGGAAAAGGTTGAAACCAGGCACCACATTTTAATTATCAACCAGCACTGTTGCAATTAATTTTGTACAATATCCATTTGTCAGAACTCATATCAAAGCAGGCATAAGGAGGTGTTGGTTATGGACAAGTGCATGCATGCTTGATATAGCTTCTGATAAATGGATATTGTGAAGAAGCCATTCATGATGTGCTACTTGGTAAGGTTCAAAGGAAATGTTGAATGCAAACATCATATCTTAATTATTCGCCCCTTTTATCTGTTTGGCACAATTTCTGTTTATCAAAACTTGTATCAAAGGGGCCATCCACTGTTGACCAGTCAATACCTCCTCATGTCTCCTTTGATGTAGGTTCTGATCAACAGATGCTGTGTGAAAGAGGTAAATGCAGTAATCCCAGTTGATAATTAAGATATTGTGTTCACTTTCAACCTTTCCCTTGAAATTACTAACGAATACCCAAAGCTGTAGTGCCTACAAAGTCAATGGATCCAAACTCCTGTCAAAGAAATGGATGTTGAAATAACCGGACTTTATGTGGGCCGATTGATGGACATGGCAAGAAGACTGCGCCGATCCAATACAAATTTGCCTTAAATGTGATTCCTCTGCAGTATAGGTGTCACCAAATTTACCATTGCCTTGGGTTTGATTGCCGAACCGAAGGCTTCACGAGGCACATGAATGCAGGGAAATAAGGTTTGTATTGAGATGCATCAACATGAGAAAATGTTTCCAGAATCAGCCATGTGTGATGGACACATGGATCAGCGCCAGTGAGCTAATGCTGCAATGGCAGAATCACCAAGCCTGGGCAAAGGGCAAATACACGTGGTAGTGCATTTCGGGTCACAGCACGCCTTGCTGGTATTCGCCATATTGCTGTTCCTCCTGCTTCACAACATGGACTCTGGTTCTCGCCCAAACAAAAGAGCCAGAGTGTTTGAACCTGATCCCGTGGATGCTGGACAAGTTGAAAATGTCGTATACATGAAGCCAGTCAAAAAACGAGGTAAATCTATTCTCAAGCCCAGGGTGCAAAAAGAGGCCACCACGTCACAACATACATCAGCAACGCAACCTCCCCAAGCCCCGCCAGTCGGCCTACAGCCACAACCAACAATTCCATCATCATTCCTCTCAGACGACGCAGCCAACTTCGATGATGACAGCAGACCGAAAAATGCGCGACCGAAGGAGAAATGGGTGAGTTTAAACACTTATTCGTGTTTTCCACCAATCTAATGTGCATATTAGAACCAAGATAGGTTCATGCGGGACTGGATTCCTCACGAACACAAGTACCTGCATGAAATTATTACTCTCGACGGCGCCCGAAAATCAACAACGTGCAGCCGATGCGGCGCAGGTGCAGTCACCTGGAGGTGTCTACTCTGTCTAGGGGTACCCGAAGGCTGCAAAGCATGCATCTCCCAAACCCACGCCCGACTCCCATTCCATGAATTTGAGGAGTGGCGGGAGGATCACTGGTCTTCTTCGGCTGCCAAGGATTTAGGTATTGTCCTGTTTATGGGGCACAATGGTCTGAAATGTCCCCGCGCCGGGGTCGGCGGGGTCTTTGAGGCAGAAGATGAGGACGAGGGATTGGATGCAGGCGATGGCGATGGCGGCGCCGATGACAAACAGCGCGCCGAAGCTGACCGCAAGCGGCCCAAGACGGCGTGGATGACTGTGGTTGACATTTCCGGCGTCCACCGATTACCGGCGCTGTGGTGTACTTGCCCTAACTCGGCGCCGAGGGACTTGCAACTCTTGCAAATGCGTCTCTACCCGGCCTCTACACAGCGGCCCCGGACGGCGTTCACATTTGCAGCCCTGCACGACTTCATGATTTCAAACCTCGAAATGAAAGTTCCCGCCAATGCTTACTTTCGCAAGCTGCGCTACGTCACAAATGAGATGATGCCAGATGACGTTCCTGTATGTCTAGCTGCGCCGGTTGTACTTATAACTGATCATCGTTTGTAGGATCGTTACCGGGAGTTGGCTCGTTGTTACAGGCAATGGATCCGTTTGCGAACCCGTCAAGCCCACGGCCATGGATATAACCAGCCAGCAGAAGAACAGGCCGTAGGCTCCATGGCCCATTTCTGCGTTGCCTGTCCCCAGCCTGGTAGAAACCTGGCGCCGGACTGGAAGACCTCTGGGTATGTAGAAGTATTCAATGTCATGATACGCCGTTGACATCTATGTGTAGTCCAACATGGCTATATTATAGACAACTAGTGATAGACGGCAACTTCAAACAAGTCAATGTTCCAATGCAACATCCAGAAAATGACGTTCAGCTTGCAGATGGAATGGGCTACACCGTAGATCAAGCGAGGTATGAAGAACATCTGGCAAGTACGACAGACAAGCCAATGGTGAGTGCCTTAACCCCAATACTGAGTGAGACCTGACACCGGCGCCAGCGATCCAGCTGCAATGACCATCGGGCAGTATCGTTGTCCAACCGGCGCAAGAAGAACTTGCGTGTCACAGGTCTGGTGGCCGTGGCATGTGCTCGTCATGGCTGTTTTCTGCCGAATACTGTTGTTGATTTGAAGCTTGGCGAAAAGTGAGTACCACATTCATTGGTCACCGGCGCATCCTGAAATCAAATTTGCAGACAGTCCGTGGTGGACTTTGCCATTTCCATGGCAGGCATGTCGGACGAAGAGTTGCTTGGATTCATTTTCATATATGACATCATTTGCCAGTACTTCATCCACTTTCGTCGGCGCTTTGGACATTACCCGCACATCGCATTTCCTGAAGATGTGGATGTTGTACCCGCCATTGGTTTATTTCATGTCCATGGCCACAAGGATGAATGTGTTGCAAGATACTCGCCCAACTACATCAGAGGCATGGGGAACATCGACGGCGAAGTCTTGGAAACTCTATGGGCAGTTTTGAATGCTATTGCCAATAGCTTTCGCAACATGTCGGCGTCTGGAAGAAAGGATCTGATGAATGCCCAAATGCGATGGTCTAACTTGCGAAAGATGTTAACATGTGGTAGGCAGTCCTTTGTTTGAGCAGGCATATGTTGACATGTCAATCTAGTGGAGTTGACTATCAAGCGGTGGCGCAC